CATCCAACCATCAGACAACATCCATCCAACATCATCCATCCATCAGACAACATCCATCCAACCATCATCCATCCATACATCCAACCATCATCCATCTATCCATCCATTTATCATTCTTCCATACATCAGCTAACATCCATACAACCACACATCCATCCATCAGACAATATCTATCCAACCATCATCCATCTATCATCTATACATCCAACCACGCATCCATCCATCAGACAACATCCATCCAACCATCTATCATCTATCCATCCATACATCCAACCACACATCATTTATACATCCAACATCCATCCATCAGCCAACATCCATCTATCATCTATCCATCCATAAATACATTCGTCCATCCATCATTTATACATCAACATCCATCCATCAATCATCCATCCAACCATCATCCAACCATCCATCTATCATCCATCCATCATCCATCTATTCCATCCATCCATAGGTGAGTGTAGGAACATAGATCGACCAGTAAACAGCTTCTCCTTACAGCTCAGCTCCCTCTTCACCACAATGGACCGGCACAGGGTACACAATATTGCTGAGGTTGCACCGATCCATCTGTTGATCTCTCGCTCCATTCTTCCCTCACTCGTGAACAAAACCCAGAGATACTTGAACTCGTCCACTTGAGGCAGAACACAGTCCTCCCTTTGATTTTTTAATGAACTTGAATTGAATCGGTCGATCCATCGAGATCACAAGTCTCTTCTGCAAGATCCCCGAGCCTGAAGGTATCCAAACAAAACCCAGACTGACACGAGGAGAACATGCAAACTGCACACGGAAAGACCCCAGCTCCAAACTGGGGGTTGACCTGGACCCGCTTGCTGTGAGGCACCAGTGCTAACCACTAACCCACCGTGCTGCCTTTTCTGACCGAGGACCACGATCCTCAGTTTTGTTGAAACAACAACAAACAGAAACTTGTTTACAGTCTTTCATAAAGAAATGATTTTATTTGTTGATTTGTTCGGTGACTCAGCAGAATCCAAGTCTTTATTAATAATCTGACGGATGAAAAACTTCAAAGTGCCAGAGACGTTCTGAACCGTTGACGGTTTGTAAACTGTTCCGAGGATGGAAGTGACAGAGGAGCAGATTATTCATGACCAAGACGATTAAAACACAAACAATGAACGTTTAAAATAATAAGAAACAACAAACACTGACCTCCTCCCTCAGCAGCTCCTCCGCCTTGTTTCTGTTCACATTTTTCCTGTACCACCTCAAAACAAACAAACAAACAAACAA